TGCAAACATTTATAAAATACAAAATTTTATTATTTTTTTATTCTTTAGAACCTCACTTGAGTGTCACCATTGCACGCATATAACTATACGAATTAAGTGAGTGTCAAACTATTTTTTAATATTTAATTTAATCTTAAAATATAATTTAAGACCCCTTAATGGGTTCACTGTTAAAGATGCTAGCATCGTATTAGTTTTTTGGTCACACCAAACCATCTGACTAAAGAAATACTGTAATGCAATTTCTTTTAAGTCATCCAAATATTACGTGTTTGTACAAATTATCGCCACCATCAACATTAGAATAGCTCCGAACTGGATATGGATATCTAGCAACCTCTGCTCTCTCCTCCACTGCCATAACCTTACCGGCGTTTCGGTACCACGGTTCTACGTAAGGAGAAGATACATTTGATGATGAAGCATCTACAATAACTGATCCCCAATCCCGTTCACCGGTAGCTTCGGTTATCCTCTTTCGTACCAACAATTTACCAACGTCGTCTCTTCTTTTCTGAGTTACGCTCCTTATAATTGATACCGACAATAGCAAGACGAATACCGCGTCTTCCTCAGGCAAAAACTCCACGGCTTGATGCTTCCAGTCGATCAGAGCGGTGGCTTTTCCTGTTGGATCTTCTTCCGTCGATCTAACCACTGTTACAAAACCATCCTCGTCTTCTTCTTCTTCATTGTCTCCTTTATACTGCATTCTCCGTCCAGTTAATAACCTAACCTATAATATAAACCAACCACCAAAAATGTCAAAAACCGGTTCCAAATCGCGAAAAATCTCTTGAATCTTGAAAATCTTACTAGCGAACCGGTGTTTCTTGAATTTAAACCGAGTTCCAAGATAGATCCTGATGAGTCCCACCGAATGAGCAATTCCTCTCCAGTCGAAAATTCCCAAACGGCTTCCCAATCCGCCACTGGTTGTTTAGGCATTACGGTTCCAACCACCTTCGCTGTACTAGACGAGCAAACACAATGATCCATAAACTGCTCAAGACTGCGATTGTTTCTTTTCTTTGGCGTTTTCGTTTACATGTCAAAAGGTTTCAGAAAAACGTAAACAGAAAACAGAACATTTTATCCATTTTTCGTAAAATGTAAAGCAAAACAGAGTGTCTCCCTATTGTCATCTAAAACCAACTTACCTGGAGCTTTACCGATTGAACCCTCGACATAAGACCAAGAACCTACTCGAATCTCTGTTATCCGCTCCTCTGATTTCACCGGGGATGGAACTTCACCTCCACGTTTAAACATCCCCTTCCCAACTCTAAACCAAAATTAGAATTAGAAATACATTCTGTTTCCATGAAGAAGAAAGATAGCGCAGTTTACCGGATGCGAATAACAAAGCATTCCCGTCCAGCATGATCAAGAACGGTTCGGGTAAGCCATCTTCCTTGTTGAGGCCGGAAGTTGTTTGTTCTTTGAATCGAATCAGATACCATAGCACCTGAATCATCAGTAACTCGATCCGGTACAAATCTCAGCAAGTAGGGCGCTTGAACCGGCGGAGTAACCGACGCAAACACACTCACTTGTTTACCGAGAAACCTACCAGACGCTAGAGAATGCGCTCTTAGCAGATCATTCCACGAAAACGCTATCATCCCTTCCGGTTTTCCGCTTCTGAAGCAAATCCCATGACGACGATCACAATGTGACTCCAATACTACCCCTTGTGTTCCAAACTCACAGTAAAGATGCCACCCCTTCTGCCACGACGCATCGTGGGACAAATCACTCAGTTTCTTATCGAGTTGAAGCTTCCGATGACATCTAGCAACTCTCAAACGAAGAAAACTCCGACGGATCAACTCAATTGGCTCTGCCTTTGGATTCAGCCTTATAAATATACATAACTGCAAAAAAATGAAAAAAGAATGGATTACGATATATCTTACTTCAATGTCAAGCCATTACATATCACAGAAAGAACTTACTTCCAAGACAAATCTGGGTCGAATGGACTTATACGCGGTGTTAACATCTACGTCAGAGACCGGCCAATAAAACACGGTGTTGTCGCTGAGACGAGACTCATTCGCAATTACAGTCAATTCCCCGCCTGCTTTCTCGTATGGTTGATTGAAGTATCTATTCCAAAGCTCTTTAGTTGTCTCCACTTGTGTTTTCTCTACTGTTTCTCCAGTCCGTACAACTTTCCTCATGATCTCTTCCAACATTTCATCAACGTCGTCTGCATACACCGTTGGGTAGCTCTGTAAATTCGCCATCCGTTGCTCAGTTTAACTAGTAAACCGGACGATAAAACCAAGAAAATGGGAATATAAACGGACCTGATGTGTGAGCCACATGAGGAGTATATCAGAAGCTGGAAGAAGACGAGAAAACTCGTCCTTGAACTTGTCTAGTATAAGCAAGAACCCTTTGTACCGTAACCGAGCAGCGATCAAGTAAACGGTCTCAGACATGTAAGGTGCTGAAAACTTGTCCCAGAGAAAACTCTGTTTCTTTACTTCAATTTTAATATCTTCATCAACTGAAACAATCTGAGAGGAATCTGGATCACAACTGTTTTCAAAACTCTCCTCTGGGTATCTTGTAACCCAGATTTTCTCGCATTGTAAAACCGCATAATCCTCATTCTCCTGATCGTAAATCGCAGGTTTCCCTATAAGTTTTGAGAATCTCGTTTGACAGTAATCTCTGTAACTTACCTGAGAAAGATACAGAGATTGTGAGTTAAGACTTTAAGACTTGTGATTAAACGAAAGATCAAACTATAATAGTCTGAGATAAAATAAGAAGTTTGGAAAGAGAGCTCACTTACTGGGTTCAAGGAATGACAAAACCAAACCCATTCAACATCGAGAGGAGGCAGGATTATGGGAGGCTTCGAACCAACCGTTAGATCAGAAATCAACGGCATCCACAGCTCATCGTACCTTAAGAAGACAACAAGTGTTAACACATTTAATTCCAACACCAATCTCAAGAATTCCGGGGACCAGAGAATATTGCTGGAATGAGAAATTGTTTCGAGAGCTACTAAAAATAGAAACAGAAGATCTTGACCGTCAGGAGAAAGAGGAAAGGTGGTATTTAACCTTCTGATAGCTTCGGAAATGACAGGAGGGTGATGCAGCCATTGACAGTCCCCGACGGATCTCAATAGAGCGATGAGGCGTCTCGCTGCGGACACAATATCAGCTCCGATTCTTACGGCGTCAACCTCCGAGATCTCGCTTAGGCTCCGCGCAGCCACATCGTCGGCCAACTCCGACCGTCCTTGCAACATTGAGTTATCAGATAGAGAGATTGATGGATTTTATCAATTGAGTATCAGAGAGAGTAAGATAGTATCCAAAGACAAGACATAAAGATTGGATTGGAGGTTTTCTGTCGAATGAAGAGACAGAGATTGCCGTAGAGAGACGTGAAAGAATAAAGTAGACTCCGAGTGATCAACATTTTTTTTTTTTTTTAAGTATAAAAGTGAGCAACGATTTACGTTCCTCAACTTTTTCCAAATTATTATTTTTCTTTTTTTTTTGAATTTTTATTTCGTTGCCATTTATTATTTTGAATATCTTAAAAATATCAAAGCAGACAAAGTATTCATAAATACATAAAACAAACGAATCGTGTCGAGGCACAAACAACCAAATGCAGATGACAAACCTAACCTCAGATATTTTAGTTAAAATTAAAAAGTTGGTAAGATGTGCTTTCTTTGTATTCCACTAGCCACAATGGTGTTTTTATATGATTGGATATACTTTTTTTTTTTTTAATCGCATTTCTTTACTCATTTTTGCAAATACATTTAGTTCTAGGTACGCATTTCGTAGCTGTTGAACTCCTCCAATATTTGTCCAAAGCATTCATTAATATTTTTAGATTGTTTATCTCTCTTTAATGGATCATGCCTATTTTGAACACCGTCTCTCGTAGAGATATGCCGAGATTAATTTCGAGTTTTGCATTCTAGGTCCTTCGATGATATTCAAATGTAG